CTCTCCCCCTCTCTCTCTCTCTCTCTCTCTCTCTCCCTCTCTCCCCTCCCTCCCCACTCCTCACATTAACTCAATCTGCAGAACAAATTCATGCAAGATGCACTGATTTTTGCAAATTGCACAAGAGATGTAAATCATTGCTTGCTTTAAAAGGGGAATTCTATTTGCTGACTTGAGCCAGGGCAGAAAGAGTTACTGGTAAGCAACTCAGGGTTGGCAGGAAGGAATTGGGGAGGAGGCTGAGTGGAGCCAACCTGCCAGGTTGTGACCTCTGCCAGCTGCACTCCCACCGCACACCATCCCTAGTCAAAACTCGGGCTCCTTTTTAACAGGGAGGGTCTGACAGAGCTAAGCCATTTTTTTCCCACAGGGACCTATACATCTAGAAGCAATGCGTTTTGCACTGTTCCACTTGTGTACAGCAGAATGCCATTATCTTTCAGTGTCTTCACTTATTCAAACCTTGTGACACAGTTTTGGTCTATAAAACATACTGATACATGTTTGTGTGTCCGTCTGCATGTGTGTATAGTGAAGAAGGCAATCCTTGAGAGATGAACGAAAGTGGGGTATAAATGTAAAAAGAATGAGGGTGCCGAAGTAAATGTAGATGTGAATACTGGGCTTATGAAGCAAAACATGAGAAATTGACATGGACAGAAACAACAGGCTTATCCATCTATCCCTGCCTTGCATAGATTGAAAACAGAACGAAGAGACAATCAATAAATTTAAACGCTTCACTTTAAACATGCTTGGCTGTATTTAGCATGTAGAAAGTTAAAAAACAGATCCTACAACCAGTTCCTGGAGAGACGGGCATAGAAGGAGTCCTGAGCTTGGCTACCCACCTCGTGATGCTGGAATCGACTGCAAAGGTAATTCAGCTTGTTGAGCGCCTCACATAGGTGGCTCTGCACAGATTATCTGTCAATACGGAGCCTGAGGGCTTCAGTGCTGTTGATCCACTCGGGGTTTCAGACTGCCCTTTGAAGGAGCAGTCCAAGTCTGGACCTGGTGTCGGGAGGGTTTCAGCACCATGGACAGCTCCTTTCAGGCCAGGGGTGATCCACAACGTGGGCAAGCCACCTATGGACCCTGGAGCAAGCCTGCCTGCCTGCCTGCCTGCCTTTTTTTCTTTAAAACTTTTATATGTTGTCCACTACCAAATAGTCTTGGACGGTGTTACAATAAACAAAGGAAAGCACAACATCCATTCTGCACAATAGCAATCTTAACCTTAAAATATTGGGGAAATAAAACGGATTTGGCCCGATGCTGGAAAGAATATAGTCTTGGTGCCAGGCAAACCCCTCTGGGGAGCGTATTCCATAAATGGGGTGCCACCACAGAGAAGGCCCTTCTCCAGGTAGCCACCTTCCTAATCTTCAAGGAGAGCTCCTGAAGAAGGACTTCTGACCCAGATCTTAAGGGCGGGGCAGGCACATAGGGAAGGAGACGATCCTTCAGACACCCAGGTCCTAAGCCACTTAGAGCTTTATAGGTCATCACCAGCACCTTAAATTAATTGTGCTGTGGCACAATTGGGCAGCATACAAATGTTTTGAATGAATGAATGAATGAATGAATGAATGAATGAATGAATAGGGCCCAGACTTCAATTAATAGCCAGTGCAGATGGTAAAGGACTGGCATTATATGTGCATATCTACTGATTCCTGTTAACCTCCTGGCTGCTCTGTTCTGAACCAACTGAAGTATCTGGACCGTCTTCAAGGCCAGCCCCATATAGAGGGCATTCCAGTAATCCAATCAGGAAGTTACCAGAGCACGTGTCACTGTCGCTAGACTCTGCTCATCCAGGTAAGGGCGCAGTTCATGAATAAGCCAAAGCTGAAGGAAAGTGCTCCATGCCACAGCAGCCACCTGAACTCCAGGGACAGCTCTGGGCAAGGAGCACTCCCAAGTCGCAGGCCCTGTCCTTTAGGGGGAGTGCAACCCCGTCCGGGACGGGGCTAAAGTCACTTACCTGGCCGACTGAACCACCTGCCAAGAGGACCTCCATCTTGTCTGGATTAAGCCTCCATTTACTGGCCCTCCTCCAGCCCATCACCCTGGACAGACACCAGTTAAGGACAGCACCACCTCACCTGGATTAGATGTAAAAGAGAGGTAGTGGTGGATGTCATCAGCGTACTGATGACTCCACAGCCCAATCCTCCAGATGGCCTCTCCCAGGGGTTTCAAGCAGATGTTAGAAAGCATGGGGGATAAAATAGAACCCTGCGGAACTCCGTGTAAACCTGGCACAGAGCCACGATCCCCCAGCACCACCCTGGGAATCAGTCAGACAGGCAGGAATGGAACCACCGCCAAGCAGTGCCTCCAACCCCCAACTCGGCCAGCCTATCCAGAAGGGTACCATGGTCGATGGCATCGAAAGCCACTGAGAGGTCCAGGACAACCAACAGGGACACAGTCCCCCTGTCCGTCTCCCTGCACAGGTCATTGTACAGGGTGACCAAGGCCATTCCAACCTTGAAGTGGGGATGGCCAGGATGGAAGCTGCTGAGATCAGCCCTGGAGTGTCTGCAAGCACCACCCAGCAAGGGCCCCCAAGAGGAGGCAGGTCATTCTGGGAAATGCTTAAGATCGGAAGCCCAGGACGGCAGAGGGATGCCTTCTGAAATGTATTTGTGTCTTGAAAAGGCCGTTGTGTACACTGCTGTATTCGTTGGCTTTTGTAGGTTTACTGTAGGAGCATCCTGCACCAAGGCCAGGCTGGGGAAGCCTGGCGAAGATTCCCTCAATGAGTCTGCATCCCTTCCGAGCACAATTTTCCATAGTCACTCTTGTTCCTCACCCTCCCCTTGCCCATCTCTGCTCCCACTCACTTGCTGGACAGGCCGAGAGCTGGGGAGCCAGGAGACCATGTGAGGAAGTGCCCCTCTTTCTTACCAGCACCACTGCCTGGCCAAAAGAAAGAGGCAAGGGAGCCAGCAAGGATGTAAAGGAGGACCAAACCCAGGGGGCCTTTTCAGTGGCCCCTCAGCTGGTGCCCAGCCATACCTACCCTTGGTGCCATCCCTGCAAGCAGGGGAGCTGTTGTTGGCCTGGAGGCGATCCAGAACATGCTGGGCCAAACCGCTTCCAAGGCCCTTCCCTTCTGGCCCTTAGGCTCAAAGCACCACGCAGTCTTTTTGCAATTCAGATCTGCATCAGCACTTCTCAGCTGTAAGGCAAAGTAACTCTACAAACCCTCTAGTTAGCTGGAATATATACCTCTGCTCATGTCAAGTGTGTGGAACCCAAGCTGGGAATGTCTCCCTGAATTCCTTCCTTTTCAGTAAAGCTGTGGGCTCCACCCTTGGTGTGACTGCCACTGGTGAAGGGCCAGCTGGCAAGACCAATGGAAGCCCCCTACCTGGGGAGCTTGTCTTTCCCAATGCTTCATCATGGGGTCAGAGACCAGGCAAGGCAATGGTTCCCTTCTTGGATCCTTCCCATCTCTCCCAAAACATTCCTGATCCCCTGCTCAGCCTGGGAACCTCTGCCTCCCCTGAGTTTCCAAAACTCCTATTAGGTCTTCAGATCTAAGTCCAGAAAGCCTGCCCAGAGTGGCCACCAGGCCCACTCACTATGATGAGCTGCTCAGAGAGTGGAGCCAGGCCAGTGAGAACATTGGAGTAGCCCAAGAGGGGCCTGACTGTCCTCTCGCATCTCCTGAGATAGGGAGGGCAATACCACGTTCCAGCCAGGCTGGCACTCTGTCTGCGGCAGAGATAATGTCAGCAGGTGGTTCCCGGTACATGTTACTGTGCTGGCTAAACGAGAAACACAACTGGAATGCAGAATTTAGAGAGTCTTTGTTGTGGCAATAAAACATTTCTGTATATTGTGCTTCCCACCCCTTCCCACTTGGACTTTTCAGCAATTGCTTTGAAAATAACACACATCATGCAGAGGTCCAAGAAACCTGCAAAGTTTCAGAAGGACAGGCACAGGGGCTAGCAAGTGAGGAAGACTGGAAACTAGTTGAGGACTCTCTGTTTTTCTTCATGGAGCTTGAGCCCAAAGCAATTTAGAGGGGTTCGTTCTAAGCCTCTCTGAGGAATTCACATTTTGCAAATCTCGAGTAGACCAAGGCCCTGGAGGGTCCAACACAGCCAGCAAATCAGAGCATGTGTAAGATGGAGGAAACTGTGTTTTGAGAACAAACTGTGAATCATGGCTTTCTGGAAAGCTGGCTGAAGGATTTGATGCATGTTTTGGGAGAGGGGAACTAAAGATCACACACATTCCAGGGCAGCTCATCCAGAGATCAAGGGAGAGCAAGAAAAAGGGCTGCAGGTAATCCCAGCAGAGAATGCAAAGCTGGATATTAATATGGGGAACCTAATGTTCTTGTCTGGTGTTTTGCTATCTTTTCATTCTGCCTGCCAGTCACAACCATCTGTGTCAACATCACTGCTCTTGCCAGTGCTTACAGAGTGCTGAACTCACACAACTGCCAACCCACTTATTCTCCTTCCCCCAGCATCGATTCCCTCAAAACCTGGACTACTGCATGTTTTCCGAGGGGCAGTCCTTGAAGACTAGAACTATCCAGCCCATCTGATTTCTTTTCTTTTGCTTCGTTTATCCCAAAGAAAGGAGGAAACAGACAAAGGCTATGATGCAATAACAGCTTTAATGGATGGGGTTGGGTGTGTGCACACAAAAGGAAATGTACATTTATTTCAAATTGCACAGAGAAGAGCTACATAACATGTCCAGGACAGCCAGCCTGCTGCTGGGTTGCATTCTGTCCCGTCGTCATTGTTGGAAGTGTCCTGCACCTACTACAAAAAGCAAGTGAGCCACTAAGGGCTGCTTGGAAAGTAAAAAGAAAGACAAGAGGGTCAGAGGCAGAGTTTCAGAGGTGCTGAGCAGCTTCCACTCAAACCTGCAAGCACTCAACATTTCTGAAAGTCCTGTCCAGTGGTGGGTTCGTATCAGATCCAAGGTTGTTCCAGGTGCTGTCGGTCAGGTCTGTTTTATTAGCAGGGGTATCCACAGATGCTTTGTCTGCGCTTTGACCCGTAGCACTTGCCTATGGAACCCCCAATTCCATAGCCGGAGCCGTAGCCATAGCCGGAGCCATAGCCATAGCCATAGCCGCTGGCACAGGGTGAGTAACCTCCCACAGCCATGGGGGCACAGCTGGAGGACAGGATAGCTCCTGGGAGGGTCACCACGACTGGAGCGGGCTGGATCACCATTTCGGATGGTGGGATCTGGCTGATGCAAGATGGCGTCACTCCAGGGACGATGCCGAGACTGCTGGCAGAGGCAGCCAATCCTCCACCCCCGTAGCCGATCACGCTGGAGCCGCCACCGTATCCGCCGCCAATGCCACACGACCCAATACCATAGACGGGCCTAGAGCATGGGATGGTGCAGGTTGGCACAGGGGATGGGCAGTGACGCATGGCTGGGTGATGGGGACGAACCTAAAGGAGAGAAAGAAAATTAGTAGGGAGGAAGAGCTACCCTGGACTGGGAAGAATCTCTGTGCTTGGAACCAGATGGCCAGAATGGGGAGGGGGGGCAGGAAGTTGGATCCACCCCTGCCATCAGCCTCCGAGCTCCCTGGCCAACTCGGGGCCCTTCTCTTAGCTCAGTCCGATTCACAGAGTCCCCGTGGGAATAAGGTGCTGTCCTAAAGCCTTTGGGTGCTGACACAGAGCTCCAAATGTTGACCTGGATCCCATGTGGTTGACTCTCCACTGGTTGGCCCTTTCAAGTACAGGGTGGGTAGCCACCTAACACAGACTGCAGAAGCATTTTTCCTGCTAGCTAGAAAGGGGTGACTGTAGACTAGAAGACCCGAGAAGGCCATTCCCAGGATAGAAGTCTTTGACTCTCAGGGCATCATTCTGAAATGGATTCCCAGCTTTGTCTATCACTTCCCCAATTCGTGCACAACCCAGATGCCACCACCAGGATCAGCATGTTTCAGCTCTTCAGGAGACAAGCCATGTTTCCCCTTCAGGAAGGAAGGCAACTAACTTCTCTCTGAGGACTACATCAGGGAAGAGTTGGGTAGCTATGCAACAGACTGCTAATTCTTGTGTGTAGACAACTCCTGCACCTTGAAAAATGCTACTCTATGATTTAAAAACTTGACAAGGACCAGATCCTGAGGCTCCCATTAGCTCAGTTAAAGGCAAACCACCAGATTTGTCTAACAGAACAGAACAAAGCAGTTATTAATCCTGTTCTTCATTCCAGCTTGAAGCTAAAATCCCATATTAATTTATCTCTATCTCTACACTATGATTTTATCTCTGAGAGTAAACAGAGTTTTGTTTTGCTTTGTCTTTTGTAATTATCAAAGAGTCCATCTTTAGTTTTGGAACCTATGCAGTGGTTCAGATGCACCAGGGACCAGCTTAATTGAAATGAGACCTTGAGGGCTAGATTCTTAACAGCTGTAAAACAACAAGGTTGCTTAAAAGATCCTCATTCATTTGTCCTGGGTGCAGCAAAAGTTTTTATTGAGTGATAAATGTTGAAGGAAATTAAATTTTCTTACTTAATAGGCTTGGCGAAGAAAGGTAGTATAAGATTATATATATGTATGTATGTATATATGTTTATCTCTCTCTCTCTCTGTGTGTGTGTGTGTGTATACACACACACATACAGCAAGAAAACCTCAGTGTTCATTTGGTTTTTTAACCAATTTCCCTCTTCTGTTTCTGTTCCCTTATCCACCTCCACACACCTTCACATTTATAGACTCAACAAAATATATTTTTATTCTCTTACAAGGGTTTACTCTTCTTGGTACATGGCACACTTTCATCTTTTTTCATGAATGGGTTACAGTGCAATTCTCGACATCCTGAGTTCACAGAGATTTACTCCCAAAGAACAGTGCAATCTAAAGAACTTCAGCCTTAATATCTACCTCTCTTCCTTTTCAAAAGAAAGGGAAAAACATTGTGTAAAAATGGAAAAAAAGTTGTGTGTTTTTCTAAAAAATCTTCTGCTTTATAAGAAAAAAGTAGGAGGCTTGCTTTGGATTTAACATGGATGGTCCATTCCAGTCACAGCCTATCAATACTGAACTGGAAATTATTTGGCAGGGAGATAACCTTGCATTTCCTTGCCAACATCTGACTCTCTAAGCTTCAACTTAGACATATATACATTTGAGTTTTAATTCACTGAAAAGGGGAAGTGTTCAGATTTATGTTTATTTTCCACCTCTCTGTGTGGATGTCCACTATAGTTATTCTTGTAATGTCACCAACTGATGCAGGAGAGCTTCAAAATCTCTGGGGGACAGACTAGATGGCCCGGGAGACCCTTCTGACTTGCTCTGTTTCTCTGTTCTTTATGTTCAGATGTTTTCGAACCGCCCAGTTGTTACAAAAGTGCCAAGTTTCCATTCTTCAGTCATCAAAGACCCCTTTCTGGTTGATTCCCACAGACTTCCTGTGCTGCACTCATCCTGTTTCTGCCATTTGACTCATGAACGCAGGATCAGTAACTGGATAAAATCTTAATTTTGAAATGGAACTGATTGGATGAAGTAAAATGCCTTTCTTAAGATGCAGCAAAAGGCTATAGGGAGCACTATCCAACCCTGCTCTCATGCTAGTGTCTTTGAGTGCATGTTTTGCATACCAAAATTAACAAATTCGTTGATTTAGCTGTCAAAATCTCTAGGTGGGACCAAGAAAATTTCCTATCTGAAACCGCCAGGGCCTGATCCCAGCCCATGTTCAGAAAGCTGAAGACATCTTTCTTCATTTATGAACATATTCGAATCAGTTCTTGATAGAAAAAACCATGATGCCTGGACTCTTGCTTTATTTTTAGGGGAAGACCAGAAGAACTTCTCTGAACCCCTTGGACTGCTGCTGAAGCCACGTGGGCCCATGTTTCCTAACACCTCAAGACATCTTTGCTCTTTCTCAGAATGAGATAGCTTGTGGAGGGGCAATGTGGTTGTCCCTCTGTGGTCAGGGAACCAGCTTACCAAATATTCATGTGGCGGTTGCTTTCCAGTTTTGGAAAAGGAACCTCCTACACCATCCTGGGACTTCCCAATTCAGGGAGGCATTGCTATGCTTATACTTCAGGGGAGGTGCAGAGGCTGAAATGGAGTGGTTACCCTCAGGCTGAGTAGCACAGAGATCCAGTAACATGGGGGAGGAGGGGGGGAAGAACTAGAGAAACTACTGTGGACAAAATGCCATGACTTAAGAACTTTAAAAGAACCCTGCTGGATCAGCTCCGAAGATCCACTGAGTAGGCGTAGCTCCTCAGACTCTATAGATGTCACCTTTACTGAGTTTAATGGTGTTTGCACCAGAGCTAATAGGTATAGGATAGAAACCAATAGTTCGGGAATGGCGAATTTCTCCATTCCACCCTCCAGTCCATCTCTAATCTTAAATTATTTCTTTCCTAGAGATGAAGGGTTTTGCACATTTTGTTAGAGACTTAAACAATTAATAGGAACTGAATTGTTCCCCATTTGCATGAGCCACATTCAGTGTGTAAATGGCCTGGGAGACCCCTTCTGACTCGCTCTGTTTCTATGTGTACAGCTGTTCATAGCAAGCCATACAGGTATTAAGAGTGAGGTTTTCTGTGTAAGCCCCGGCATGGTTGAATGCTCAAGAATTATCAATCAGAATTTTACAGCAAAGAACTTTGTGCCCAAGGACTAGGTGGGTGTAGCTACCAGTATTTCTGAACTTCAAAAAATATACATATTCTCAAGGGTTTTTTGGGGGGAGCAGGGAAAGGGAGTTCCTAAACCAAAGCAAAGTGCAATCTCCATACATACATTCTCCAACATAGAGAGACTCACAAGAAGTTTTCCTAGCATAGTCAAAGGCTATTTTTCCTATGGTCAAGTTCCTTCTAGGCTGCTACCAAAGCAAAGCTTACCTTCAGAATTCAGGCTAAGCAAAACCCAAGAGCCACCCCATTTGCAAAGCCCTCCAAGAAATCTCGCTTTCTTACCTTGCTTGCAGAAGTGCAGAAATGAAGAGAAGCGAAGAAATCTGATGAAGATGCTAGGCAATACCATGGGTTTTTATACTCTTCAGGAGGCAGGGCACAGGATATGAAGCATGTCATTTTCCACCTTGAGATTTAATTAGTTCCTAATGTTCCATTTGATCTATTATCTCCATCTTGCCCCATTTAATTGGACTTTTTTTCTCAGCTGGTTAGATGGTAGTCTTCCCTGCACATATATCATAATCGTTATTTTACTCCACCCTCTCCTGTATTTGTCACTTGCCCTTGGTAAAATTCCCATGGCTTCACAAATTCCTGGTAAATGGGACGATGACATATCCACCCTTGATGAGAGATATGAGGTAAACCGACTTGGTGGCATGTATCTGAATGGGATCAGAAAAGCATGCCTGAGTAAGAAGGTCAACCCAACAGATTTCTCAAGTCAGCATTTATGCACTGGCCTAGCATAAGCTGGACCAGTGGACAATGCAGAGCTCGAGGGCAGTTTCTGCTTCCCACCATCAATATCTCAGGTGGGCTAGCCTTACCCTTACAAAACCAAAGCACATGCTGTTACAAACCGAGTCAATGAGCTTTGGAATAGCCTGATTGTGAGCGCAGTTTCTTGCCCTCCCTCAAAGCACGCTTCCCTAACCCCAACCCTCCACCTGTGTTGCGCTGTGCGTCTCATCTTGGTAAGACAGGAAAATATCCCCTGATACCAAATGTACCATAATGCAGGTTCCAGGTGAGTCAATTTGGAGAGGTCATTCCACAGGCAGGGACACCACTGCGAAGACCTCCTTTCTGAGAGACACCTCAGCTCCATCTTGGAAAAAGGTCTTAATCTTTTGCTTCAGGGTCCATGTAGGTAAATGTGGAGAGAGATGCTCCCTTGGACTGGCCCTAAGCTCTTGAGAGCTTTAAAGATTTAGACCAACACATGAAGTTTCTCCATCAAAAACACTGAGAGGAGGCTTAAGCTAAGGGTTAGTGAATGTCCAGGTCAGCCAGTGAGTTTTATGGCCAAGTGAGGAGTAGATCAGGTCTCTGAAGTCTCACTTCAGCCCTCTAATCCCATAACCTTAGGCTCTAAAGTGTGCCCGCAGAATGCACCCGGTGTGCTTGGCCAAATAAGGGCCAAACCTCTGCCGCCGGATTGCATTGTGGTCCTGGTGGAGCCGAGAGAGCATTTCCATTCCGTTTTAATGGACTTTACCAAAAACCACAAAGGCTGTTCTATTTGGGAGCATAGGAGCTTGATATTCCTGCACTGTGATGTGAGAGGAACTAAAATGACATATTCACTCCTAGCTCCCCAAAGAATCCCTCTCATTTCTGGCAGGAATATCCCAAACCCCTTTAAAGTGAAGATGTACAGGATTAAATGT